CCGTGGTAATATCAGAAGAGTAGGTGTTATACCTCAAAGCTCATGATGTCACTGCAACATATATCGGCAGAAATGAAGCCGAAGACATCAGAAATGCAAAGCTCCAAGCACTTTCTGGCATCCATTGTAACATAGCTTTCTATTGGGCGGTAAACTTTCTATCGCGTAACCACGTGATATACGCGGTTATGAAATGAATAGAATTACCGCACGGTGTGGTAGAGGGAGGAATGTCCGAACGGAACAACACCGTGAAGGCGGACGATGTGCCAGATGTCGAAATGCGCAAAAGACGCAGATTGAACGTCTGCCGAAAAAAATCAAATTTTATTTTAATTTGTTTTTCCAAAGTCGAAATGTCGAGCTTACAGAGGAAATATAGCGTTGAAGAAATACTCTCTCAAGCAAAATTGACCATCAAATATGTATAGCACTTTAAATTTATTAAACATTCTATGACGTAATTATCTTTGTTTGCACTGTTGCATAACGCGAGACCTCGCAGTGAACGAAAACTGGCATATTGACAAAAACGATAACACACGAACGAGACTTTATTATATATTCACATTTTATTTATTAATGATATTATTTCCCAATAGCTAAACTAGTATTATCCATAAATTAGTGTCTCCATTGCTTTCTCGTTCCCTGAAATGCTGAATCTTAGTAACTTCATCCTCGTTTGCTGGGTTTCTAATTTCATTGCCGGCCGTGATTCACGGTTTGCACATTTCGAATGCCACAATGTTCGGCAAGTTTCTCTAAATCGTAAACATCGCCTGAAACCTGTAAAATTGAAATACAAATTTAGCGGATCGTGGGACTGACATCAGACCGTTACGGATTTGCCCTTTGTAATCGCCACATTGTTCCTCTGTGCCGGGATTCCTGTGATTCACGTGACTAAGTAGTTGCGATGGCACCGGGGAGGGGGGGGGGGCAGAAGGCCACCGAAACTTATGCGCGACTACATGGGGCGCAAGGTATGGCGAGCAATCTAACTCACATGCACAATTTCGTGCCACCGCCTCTGCTAAGTGACGTAATTTGAAAACAATTAAATTTTTAGTTCTCCGTAAACGAGACTGTATTACTGTAATAACGCCAAGTCTGTCTGCCGAGTGATGGTTCTGGTATTTCTCGCTACTTGTGCGCATGCGCCATGGCACTTGACGTGGGAAGCAGCCAGTGCTACTGTAAGAGGCGCCCTCTGGAAACAAAGCGCGTCTGTGACGTAAATGAGTATGAGAGTCGTTGTTCTCCTTGTCGACATTGTTTTGATTTGCTGTCGTCAATAAAAAAAAATCAGAGATTTGTTGTACTCTAAACGTCGAAAACTTTCACACTTCTACGCCATTTTGACTTTACTTAATAGAAGGGCCTCGTCGCTAGAGGGCACAATTTACTGGAGAACTCCGCGAAATATATACAGTTGTGAACGATGCTCTGAACTGTGCCAACGTACAGGCAAATTAGGAAACAACACAGATGTAATGCCTCGTTTACGCATGTCTGTATGTGTAGACAAAACTGTTCTTCAGAACATTACTTACAACAGCTCCTCCAACACGAGGGACGAAAGATCCACCAAATGCGTCAGATACAGGCGCACACTGTAGGACTGCAAATACAACCAGTAACAGAGATACAATTGCCATTGATTTCATCTGTAAAAAAAGGAAGAAAACATTACGATTATACAATTAATAGCACTAATTATGGACAAGCTGGACAAGCAAAAATAGATAAGAACACGCAACTTATCACCTCATATATTACAAAATATACGCAATGTTCAAAATATGATATCAAGAAAAGTGAACAATCAGTACACATCGACAATATTCTTCACACCTCACATTCAACGTGAGTCCCATGTGACGTATACAACTCGTGTACAATACAGCGTTCATTTAAAATGGGACGCGGTGTGTGACGTACGTGGAAACACGCGAATAGATCTTCCAATCATGGCTTAGTTATTGTACATTTCGCGAATATTCGATATATCGTATCACATATGTTAGAGTCGCTAGCCTTAATTGTTTACTTTAAATACGTTATACCAAAAATATGTTATTTTTTTGTATTTTCATATAGTTACATTTTACAAATTTCTTAAAACCATCCATGTTGGTAAACAAATGATCACCATAAACAAACTTGAAATATTTATGAAGCAGAAGCTTATACACCGTGGTACCGTAACTTTGAAATTCAGATATGCGTGATTTAAAACAACCTTACCTTGTTCAACTTGATTGATAAACTCACATATGACCATGCCAAGCATGTGTGCCACCTTTTATATCCTGTCCAGCCCATTAAAGCAGCCCTTGAACCGTCCTCGCCCACAGAACGTGTACATTAACCAATTAAATTAACAGATGGTATAGTCCGCTTTGATTTGGACATTTTCTATTGTTACTAGCATTGGATGTGTACTTTTTGCCACGTTGAGGTGTCAATTTACAACACCACGGGCGTGTTTGCTGTTAGAAAATTAAAACCTACCATATCGTTTTACTGATTCTCTGTGTTAGTATGATGCTTGAAAATTACTTTCGAGCATTTATTGTTGTAACGACTTTCTGAATCATTAAAAATAATATGTTTTTTCGCTGTTGTACATGGAAAATAACGTTGAAAAAACAACAACAACAGCACACACACACACACACACACACACACACACACACACACACACACACACACACACACACACACACACACACACACACACACACACACATACACACACACATAAACAAGAATACCAAACATCACACGTTTTAACTCAGTAGACAGGTCTCGCCGATTCTCATCAAAAAAAGTTACGATCTCCTATCAGTCACAAAGAAGAAACAAAGCAAGCTACTCTTACCAATAGTATTAGTGTACAAATAACGTAGCCAATAATAATAATAATATTACTATTTGGAATAAATATATACCAGAGTGCTGAGACGCGCCATGCTTTTCCAAAATTAAACCCAAACAAACTGTCTCTTTATTGATATGAAATAAATCTACATCGCTGTTTACATCGTTAGTTAGATTTGGCTAGGATGATAAGTCACGTGTTGAGAATGTATAAATATATATATATATATCTAATGAAAGGAACGATATCTAAACACAATGTGCAAATTGTGTTTTATTACAGTAGAAGAATTTCAATTTATTGAGCCTTCGTTGTTTAGGATTATTGTTATCTGAGCTATGTACAGAATTAAATGGTAGTTTATTGCAGAACAATACGTTGTCAGTTTTCCCGATAGCGCCCTCTGATGGTCAGCGATGATTTTGAAGTTTTGATTGCATTTGTTACTTAGACATCAAATGTCGTTTTTAGTGCATACGAGAGTCACGTGATATTGAACTTGGTGCGTCCACATTTTGAAACCGGAAACGTACAATTACAACAGTGATAGAGGAACTATGGCTAGTGTAATATATGGTTTTTGTATGCTATGTATTATGTACTGAAGTATAAATTCTATTCATAGACTAGGTTAGATAGACACTCATAGCGCTGAACATGGCGTCCAAACATCGAAGAAAAATGAAATAAACAAAGCAAAACTAATTAATAATCGGTGTGATGTTAACGCTGTAAGTTTTCGAGGTCTCTATATCTTCAAGCTCTCTTTATTGTGGATAAGTGATCAAAACTGCTACTGCAATATCTAGCAGAGTGAGTACAAATTTTATTTAGTGACGGGATTGGTTTTCTACTTGTCTGAGAGTATGTAAAACTAATCATCCAAAACATCATTTTAATAACGCTAAAAGACCTGACACGGACACTATTCGTCAATTTAGTTAACAGAAGAACGGACGAAACGAACATGTAAGTGCTTAAAATTATATTCCAGCTTTTTTTTCATGAACGATGCTGGTAGTATATCATCATGTGGCACATTAGTAGGGGAAAACAAGTCAAGTGCCTTTTAAATATCTCTAGACGATCATGCCACAACTTTACACTGAGGTAATTTTCTGTCTGGTAATGTATTTATTCCGAGATAGCACGCACATCATTTTAACGAAAAAAAAAAACGAAACATATGGTACAAACTAAATGTAAATTTTGCAACCTTGTGAGGTGTGTCAATTGAAAGATGGGAAAAACATGTGTTTTTCTAGAATATGGTATCGGGCGGTCAACTCTTTAGAATGCGTAAATTTATAAAAAAAAACTGAAGACGTGTTGTTTATTTATTAATTACAATCTTTACTACTTTGCCGGTCACAGTTCTTTATCGTGTATGGCTATAGCGAATTGTTGCTATCCGTGATGTGTTTTCGATGTACGGAATTTTAGTACATGCAAGCAACACATGTATTATTCATACACATATTCAGGGCAATATTGGTATGAATGTGTTTACATACTAGGATACCTCTGAGGGGGCAAAAACCTTGGTAATCAATTTTTCTTGTGAACAAACTGCAGGTAATGGGCCAATGACTATTTATAATATTAGCCTTTGTGGACTCAACGTGCGCTCGTTGAGCTTAATAACTAGAACCTCGTATATTTGAATAAAAAGAAATATAGTTATCGATTGTGTGGTGCGACTGTGATACTTTTTATAAAATAAATAAATGAATAAGTATAAGAATAATGTGATGTCAGTACTCATTTAGTGATGATGTAAGCGTAACATTCCACGTGGACTTGGTCGTCACGTGGACGTTTCCCACGACAATGCTGCTTTTCACGAATGCACGCTGTAATAATTTATTACAGTATGTTGTGTTTTGCGGTGGCGAGAATAATCGATCCACCGTTTACAGTCGTTTACCTGACGGCTATTGCGATCTTGGTGGTCAAGTGGACGTTTCCTACGACAATGTTGGTTTTCACGAATGTACGCTGTAATAGTATGTTGTGTTTTGCGGTGTCGAGAATAATCGATCCGCCGTTTAAAGTCGTTTACCTGACGGCTATCGCGGCTACCAAACCTGTGCTAGTTTGGGTGTACAACGCTGTACTGCAACTTTTTTTTTTCAGAAATTTAATGAATATGACTAGATTCTGTTTTTGGGGCTAATGTTAAACGTTATTTTTTACTCATAATGCCTAGCTTTAATTTATTAAATCGGTTCCCTTATATTTCGTGGTATGTTGGTTTGCAGCAAAGCATTTAAAACTAAGAATTAAATCCACATCAAATTTAATCAATATAACCACCTCCAGACCATTTAACCATTTAATGTTACCATGACCCGTTCATTAACACAGTTATTGAAATAGTTTTCGATATGTTCAGCTGTACCGTTGGTAGACCAATATAGCGGAATAATGGCGTACACAACTCATAATGTTTATGTTAAGAGAAATACTACCCCAGACCATTCGTCCCGGTGTTATCGCTATCGCCACACGAGACTCCAGCTTGTCTCCTATACAATTTGACTGCGCACATCCAGAAAGTAGATGTAGCTGTGATTGGTGGAATACTAATGAGTTGAGTGTCAATCAAACGCCCACGCTATCTTTAGTAAACAAAGTCACGTGACACGCGCCATTTTAGTTTTGTCAGGCGATTTCAAGGCAGCACGCTTAACCCTTTCGTTCACAGGTTGGGAGATATTAGAATGACTGACAATTTCACGCCACTGTTTTACATTATTGGCGGATTTTTCTGCGCTATCAATCTTTCTCTTACAAACTAGACATAGATGAGACGACAGAGTCGCTCCTTTCACAACGTCGCACTGGATCAAATTGGAAAGACGATTTCCATAAGTTATCCCTCCTGCTTTTCCTGGCTTGAATAAATTCACACACGACTTTAACTGTCCACAAACTCGAAGACTACACGAACACAGTCTACAATAGTCGTCCGCAACAATATGTATGTATTTCTTCGGTGTACTG